CGTTATGGGAACTGACGGCCTCATCTTTCTCCCCAGGAGTGGGTTGGGGGTTTCAACCGCTGACCTTGATGTTAAGGGGTACTAAGCCAACCCAACAGAGCACCTTAGGGCTTACCGTGAGAACAGGCTCCCTCTGGGTACTTATCAGCTAAGCTCAGAGAGTTTCGCTACAGTTCCCTAAGTCTGAACAGAAGGGGCCAAGTGCCAGAGAGAGACCTGCTTTGGGCAGGGCTGAGAAGAGGCTGTCCTGATTGAAGAACTCTAACCCGGGTGTCCTTGAGCCTGAATTGTAACTTGGTGCTTCCCTCATGGAGCCCATCATCGTGAGTGTGTGAGTCTGGGTACTTTAGAGAAACAAATCCACAGACACTCATGTATAAGAGAGAGTTTTAGATAAAGTGTAAGTGTGCATCAAGAAAACATCCCAACCCAGTGCTGCCCAAGCCCACAAGTCCAACATTAGCCCATATGTCCGACACCAATCCACAAAGTCCTCCCCCATCTCACAAAACACACGCAATGATGCCGACTGCAGGAGGAAAGCTGAGTCAGTGAGTGTGTAAGCATCTCAGCGCTGGCAGGGGTCTCCACACAGCTGCTCCAGCACCCAGGGCTGCATCAGGGTAGGTCCATGTGGCTTCTCCTTGGGGATGTCTTGCAGGAAGTCAGCCCGCAAGCTGAAGCTGGGAACTGCTAAAGCAGCTGCACCCTGGTGCGATCATCAAAAAGCAAGAGACCCAAGAACTCGAAAGGCGAGGCTCACCGAGCCATTTATCCCTCTGTCCTTCAATTAATCCCACGTGTTTATCGGCCAGGTTGGCACAGTAAACTAACTCAGTGAGCATTGCCCATGATTCCGGTGTGGCCTTTACAGGGAGACATTGAACTCAGCAGAGGGGGACAGTGGCGTGGGAGGGACAGGTGGTATCAGAATGGGTCCAAAGTTTGGAGGGTGGAGGCATGTTTGACCCCCGCCTCACAAGAATCAGCCTTGGGCTGTTGATCTTGATTCTCCTCGCCACCCGCATGAACTTAGACGCCGCCTCCTCCACGCAATTACTCCACACACAGTCATGCGTGCCTCACCACCACAACCAGGACCAAATCTTCTCCCCACTGTCAATTCCTAGAAACCTGGAGACCGAACAAAGGTCTCCTTTCAACCCCTGTGGTTTGGCTTGGACCCAAATGTACCACCAGTATTAAATTCCGGTCTGGCTTCTTCCACATAGAATGTCGCGTTGAGGCTTATTAGTTGTTTGTCCCTATTCAGGTAAACCTTGTCATCATCAGGTGCTGACGCAAAGTAGTCCCGACTCACACCGAGCCCGTGCACAACAGAACGAAACAGTGAAGGGTCCTGCCTCGATTTCACCATTGTTCTTATGTTTGGGCCTGTGCTAGTCTGGGTGGACTAGAGAAACAAATCCATAGACACTCATGTGTGTCTAAGAGAAAGTTTTATATAAAGGGTAATTGTACATTAAGAAAACATCCCAGTCGAGATCAAGTCCATAAACCCGACATGAGCCCATGTGTCTGATAGCAATCTACAAAGTTCTCTTCAGACTCACCTCAGCCCCTCTTGATGAACCACTCGGGACTGGAAGAAGTGAGAGGGAGCCTTTACTCTCCTGGGACATTTATAGGTAGACATAAGACATACATATTCAGTAGTTACATGCATCACAAGGTGGGTGGTAAGTACATTAAGGTCCCTGAGCTCACAGGTGAGGAAACCTAGTACCTGCATTGGGGGAAGGTAGGAGGAGGGTTGGGTGTCATGGAGGGAAGAGAGAACAAAAGGATAGTCTCTGTTTCTATAGGGAGATCGAATCCACCATGTGCTCACTTTAAGGCAGCATGGCTGTTCAGGGGAAAATCTGTGGGAATGATATTTAAAGCAGGATTATGTACTTGGACTTCTCTAACTTACCCAAGTGGAGGCTTTCCCACCATGGAATACCAGCTTTCCAGATTCCCTCTGTGATACGTTAGGGGACACAGTCCTCATCCTGTTTCCTTCCCTGTCCGTTTCCCACAACTGTCGCGGCCACTGTGTCCATCCATCTGGTTGAGAGTCATCTTCTTTTGGCTGCCCTTCTACTTTACCAAGCACGAGGTCCTTTTCCACAGACCAGTCTCTCCTGACAACACTTCCAAAGTACGCAAGACAGCGCCTCGTCCTTGCTTCTAAGGACGGAGCATCCTGGCTTCCTGCTTCCAAGACAGGGAT